GCGGACTAGGGGAAAAAAAGTCATTTTTATATTTTGAATTTGTTAAGTGAGAATAAACGGTATTCTATCTAACATACAACGTCAAAAAGGTATTTTACTTATTTTACAGCAATTATACAACAATATATGTTAAATATCCCACTCATGTTGTAAGTGTTAGGTGTCCAATACGGGTATTTGATTTATTTTGAAGAATCAACATAAGCCTACTCTCAAGTGATGAACCAGCCTTGACATATTGAGTTAGTCTCAAGTGATAAATCATGATGAATCAAGCAATCACCTCCTCAACTTTCAGCTCAACTTTCAGTTGATCAATCACCTCCTCAAGAAACCAGTATGTTGGTAGTTTTTCCTTTCAATTTTCACAATCAAATCGAAATTTAAAAATTAAAAAAGTAACATACTTGGTTCTTGTTTTGAAATAAGTAAAAACCCCAATTGCCCATACAAAGACACAGCCGAAAAATTAAATAGAACGGAACCTGCATTTTTTGATTGTTGGTTCATCTTATCTTCACATTCTAAATATCACAATAAAAGCTTCCAAACAAGAAGGAATCCAAATACTAAAAATTCAACCCAAAAATAAATAAATAAATAAATAAAATGTAACTTTTTTCTACAATAAAAACAAGCAACGCGATTATGAGGCAAAAGTGAAGAACATCTATAATGAAAAGTTTAAAAGAAAAGAGAAATGCAAAAAAAAAAATAACAAAGCAAGCAAACAAAAAGATCAAAGGGAAAAGTGCGAATCGAGTCATGATCTATTCTTTGCCGAAGGTGAGTAGAAGTCATCTCGGCTTAGAAGGTACATTTTGGGCTTGAAATTGTGGCCAGACAATTAGTAGCTCCATTACAAACATGTTAAATTTTGTTACGATTTTCACACTAGGTTTGATGCTTAAACAATATTAGAATGGAAGAATTACAGCACAGTGGGACACAAAAAACATATGAGGTACAAGTCATTCTGTAGTGGGGTGAGTGAAAAGCTATGATTGTGCAAATGTCACTTACACCCCCTCCATATTTGTATTAAAAAAATTTGTATATGCCACTGAGATGTAATTCCTCTTATTAAAATATCAACCTCATATGTTGATGAAAATAAAGAGCAGGCAAAAAAAAAAAAAAAAACAATTGTGCAAGAAGAAAACAAAGAACTGTCAATTTTTTAAATTATTTCAATATTAATAACATGGTATCAAAAGAGGGTTGCTTGGTTGACTAGGTTGTTTAGTAAAATTTTATTGACTAAGAACATGCCAAATGAGTGGAGGAAGAGTATTTTAGTATCAATCTATAAGAATAAAGGAGATGTCCAGAATTACAACAACTATAGAGGAATCAAGCTAATGTGTCATAATGAAAGTGTGGAAGAGGGTGATGGAACGCCGATTGTGAGATATAACACTTGTTGACTTGCCAAGCATAAACTCAAATTGATTGGTGCTTGGCAAGTCAACAATGGAAGAGGGTGATGGAACGCCGATTGCGAGATATAACAGAGGTGTTTACTCAATTTGAGGAGAGTAATAGAAAAGTATAGAAAAAAGAAAAGAGACATTCATATGGTGTTTATCGACCTTGAGAAAGTATATGAAAGAGTACCTCGAGATATAATATAGTGGATGTTAGAGAAGAAATGGGTGACAAAAGGTTACATTGATGTGATTAAGGACATGTATAAAGGGGTGGTGACCACTATTAGATCGCATGCTGGAGAGGCAAATGAATTTCCTATCACTATAGAGTTACACCAAGTATCTGCCTTAAGTCCTTATCATTTTGCGTTAGTTATGGATGAGTTGACGATAAATATTCAGGATGACATGTCATGGTGTATGCTTTTTGCAGATGATATCGTGTTAGTGGATGAGACTGGAGGAGGAGTTAACACAAATATAGAAATTTGGAGAAAAGCACTTGAATCTAAAGGATTCCAGATAATCAGAACTAAGACAAAATATATGGAGTGTAAATTTAGTAACAGTAACAATGAAAGCGAAGGAGAAGTAAAGATTAAGAATCAAAAACTGCCAAAGAGTGAATATTTTCGTTATTTAGGATCGATTATCACAACAAAGGGGAAGATTGATGCAGATGTGTAGGAATGGCAACGGGGTGGGGCCGGGGACTACACTTCCTGTCCCAGATCCCCGAAGCTACAAAATTTCCCGTCCCAAATCCTCGATGGGAAACCCATTCACCCCCCCGCCCCGTAACGGGGATCGGGTTTCCTCGACCCTGAATAATCTCGTACAAAACAACAACAATCAACATAGAATATGAAGAGCAAAGAGGAGAGAGAAGAGAGAACCACATATCTGTTCAAAAAAAAATCATAAATCTGTTCAAAAAAACCACAGATCTGTCCAAACCCTAATAGAAAAAAATTAGATATCTTCAACAGATAAAACCCTAACAATAATACCCTAACAAAAAATCAGATCTGAATCCATATATATATATATATATTGATCAAGATTTTCAAAAAAAATCATTGATTTATTCAAAAAAAACCATAACACAGAAGCGAATAAGGATGGCGATCGGTGGTGTGCGAGATCGGTGGTGTGCAACGACGGTGGTAGAAAGAGAGAGAGAGACGCTAAGAGAAAGGAGATTGCCATAATAAGAAGACAAAATGTTGTGGGACTGTATCTTTCCTGCAGTTTTTTTGGTTATTTAGTTGAAAAGAAATGCAAGAATCTTTTAAGGACAGGAGGGAGGATATTAATGTCTTACGGGATAACATTTGTTACTTGTCATCTTTTTGGAACTCAGTATCCTCTTTTAGGAGAATCCCACCATTTTTTTTTTTTTTTTTTTAAAATTTCAAGGGATTGAAGGCCAATCTGTTATGTGTAACTTAAAGAGTTGTTTGCTTTTCTTTTTCTCTTTTTGGAGGACTTTCTTGTAATTCTTTTCTTTATTAATAATAATATCTTTCTTTTATTGGTGATCAAAAAAAAAAAAAACAGACAAAGCAGAATCTTCTAAAAACCTCATTCAAAATTCCTTCAGCTTCATCTCCTAAGGTTAGGTTAGGTTAGGCTCTGTCACCCAATAAAATTTGAAGATTCCACTCTGCTGAATTGAAAAGAATGATCAGTACTATTGATAAATGTCCAGCAAATTAAAATTCCTAAAAACTTAGATTCCTAAAACATAAGAAAACTTTTGAGTGTAAAAACTATTTCTGGAAGGGAATTAGCCAAAACTTAACAAGGCCTCCTTACAAAACTAAATTGAACATAAAAAATAAAAAATAAAAAATGATCAAAGCACACAATCAATCATGTTAGACCATCTCCAACGGTGAATCAAATTTTTTATCAAATTTGAGTAAAAAAAAAAACTAATTTTCTCAATCTGATATTTCTTCCTCCAACCGTGCATCAAAAGGGAAGGGTCGACTGGCCGATCGACCGGTAAGGCAAATTTTTTTTTTTTTTTTACCTATTTGAACCTTTTGACCGGTTTAAACCTACCTATTTGAAAGGGAACCGGTCGACCAGTTGGTCAACCGGCCGGTTTGACCGGTTGGTCTCCTCCAACGGTCACGCACAGTAAAGTAGTGAAATCTGTACTATGTTCTCACTTTGATGAATTTTTTGGTGAATTCTCATTTTGATATCAATTTGCTGAAACCATTAGAGCTCCAAAAAGTAACTTTTTTATCAAAATTTAAATCTGATGTCAGGTTTGATTCACCGTTGGAGATGCTCTTAGAGAATTACTAGACAATCAAGCTTTAACAAGTGAACCAATATAATCTACCATTTTAAATCATCAGCTGTAAAGGGCCACCATTTTTCAATTTTGTTTTAATTTTAGTCCAGCTAATAGAAGAAAGGACAACTATTTATTTCCAGAGGGACGTACTAAATCTACACTGAGCCACTTATTAACTTCCTCAAATTTGATGTAATTATAAAAATAATAATGATTCATCCCACTAAAAATATCACCACTAATAGCACTAATGGATTAAAAAAATAAAAAATAAATAAAAAAATACAACTCCAAGACCAAAACATCACATCATTACTGACGGGACCCACTGCCACCTAATTAGTGGGAGCACTAATTAGTGCTCCCAAACATTTTTCTTATAAAAAAATGTAAAGCTTCCACAATTCTGAAAGCAAAGACAATCCCCGTGTCATGTGCCTAAGGAATAACAAACCATTTAATTTGAACCTTGCATTATGATCAAATTACAAATACTGTTGCATCTTACATGAAATATGGGGAAATCGGGAAGACAGATTTTGCACATTTGAGATCGATCTGGAAATGAAATTCAACATTATACAATATATGAAAGTAACATGGGATGGCATAACAATTTAGGCCATGTTTGGAAACAGTCTATTCTAGTAACTTTTTGATTAAAATATGAGGAAAAAAAAATTTAATTGTTTGGGATAATTTTTTTAATTTTTTACGAAAAGACATGAAATAAAATAAGATAAATAATACCCAATGGGTAAAATGACCGAAATGGCCTTATAGCCGTGCATAGTACCTGCAATGCGTCAGACTTGATGGCTTTTGCAAGGGTCACAAATATATAAAAATATATAGCACAACGGTCAAATTGTGTGATGTAATAAAAATATATTTAAATAATATATTTAAAAATATATTTGTGTACTGTAAATAATATTTTAAAATATATTTAAATTATATAAAAATATATTTGTGTGCTATAAAAATATATTTAAATATATTTGTGTGATGTAATATTATGTACATAATATACTTAAAAATTTCATAAATATGAGATATGGATTATACTTTGTGTGATGTAATAATATTTTTTTATGAAACATCACATTTTACGTTAAAAATCAATTTTTTTTAAAAAAAATCTAAAAATCCAACAAAATATATAGAGAAATCCTGTAATTCTCTAAAGATCTACTTTTTGTAGAGCTTTTCAAAAAATATTACAACAATGGCAACGAGACATACTAATTTTTTTTACTTGATAATATAGTCCAAAAATGAGAAATAGTAAAATAGTATATTCCCAAACGACTAGTCATATGGATTGTAATTTATGTGATGTAATTGTGAATAGTACCAAAATGTAGATAAAATAGGAAAATAATTTTTACAAGTCTCTATTCCAAAGTCATAAACAAATCATAGCCTAACTCTGTACAAAACTCGAGTATGTAATTGTTTTTATTTGGGAAATTTTTTGTTTTCGGGAATTCATAACCAACCTGAAATTTATGAGTTGACGAAAGCCCTTACATAATTGGTAAGCAACCTGAAATCATAACCAAGAGATTCCATAGTTGTACAAAAACAGTGACATACATGCTCGTACATAATTGGTAAGCAATATACACAAATAGTCCTCTCCAATTAATTTGAACACAACACAGTGATGACATGCATCACATAACATGTCTACCTAACGAGCCTTTCGCCAAATTGTAACTAACTCCGCCCTGATACGCCCCCGCAACTGCGCCATCTCAACGTCATCGTCTCCAAGCATCATTACATCGTCAAGGGCAGCCAAATCGTCCCGGTCAGGCATGTCCACGTATCTATACTCGGCCGCACTGCTGACAGCAACAACAATCTCGTCGTCCACACTATTTCTGCGTATGAAATTATGTAAAGCCATAGACGCTGCAACCAATGGCACCTGCACTTTACGAAAATCAAATCGAGGCATGTCTTTAAGAAATCTCCGCCGCAACTTCCAAGCGCCAAAGGTACGCTCAATGACACTCCACAAAGATGAGTGAGCACGGTTGAAGAACTCATCACGGTTCCGTGGATTGTGCCTTTGAAATTCCAGTTGGTGGTACCTGTTGCCTTTGTATGGTGCCAGAAAGCCCTTCTTATTAATGTATCCACTATCTACAAGGTAATAGCGACCTGTGAAAGTGCACATGTAAATTACGTAATACTCATGACCTATGTTCACTTCGCATACAATATAAATTTTAACTTATCCATGGTTGCGTACATTTATTTCACAACAATTGTATCTCTATAATTGAATTATGTATTGACAAGGAGTGGCGGAGCCAAGAAACTAACTCAAAAAGGGCACTTCTTGATTACAACTTTATTTTTTTTTCCATAACCAACAATAAGAAGCTAACATTAATTTTTTAAATAATATATCCAAAACTACCCTAAATTATTACAAAAGTATTTCACATAATATTTTATAATTAATTCCGAGTAAAATCGAACACAAAATATTACGTGTAACTAGTTTATCATGGACAATGTAAAAACAGTCATATATTGTAGTCTTAAAATAAATTATATAACGGTAAGATAAATCAAATTTAAAGTTATTTATAATGGTAAGATAAATCAAATTATATAATGTAAAAATAGTGATATATTTAAGTCTGATACATTTTTACATATATATTAGTGAGATTAATTATATTGGCATATCAATAATGATGGATATTACCTTCATATTGAGATTGTTTCATAAAATATAATTTGTTGTAGTCACTTCATTTTCAAAACAAATTCACTATTACTTTCTGTAACTTAAAAATTCCCTTGACATTTTATTCTAAATATTAGTATTTTTAAAAAATTTATTTATATACATATGTTAAAAAAAATGAAAATCAAAAATTGTATTGTGGATTCAGGTGTACGTACCGTCAGTTGCAGTTGGAAAATTGTATTGTGGATCCTCCATTACATTGCTTAAAACCCGGCTGTTGTGCATGCTATCCTCCCACCCGCACGAGACAAACAAGAAGCACATGTTGAAATCACACACCGCAAAAATATTCTAGGTGTGACACCCCTTATGGCTGAAATATGGGGCTGCTTTTGACTCCTTTATGCATGCCGGCACGTGTGTCCCATCCAATGTACCTAAGCAATCCTATATATTAATAAAAAAAATTGCAATGATAAGATTACCGACCATGTTCATAAGGACCATTTTCCAAAACATTACAAAATATTTTCCCACACCTTGAACGGCATATATTGTGGTTGAGATTGCAGATGGGGATGCATGTGCATTTGGAAATTAGCGGGAGGCCTGGAGTGCTCGACAATGAATTTCTTCATTACTTTCAAGACGGTATGAAAATGGCGTGAAATAGTTTCACCAAAATGTTGGAATCGTTCTTGTAACTCCCGGTTTGGCAAGTTTTTAAGCACATGAATGAATATTGCAACACTCTCCTCAACGTGCAAGCTGTGCGGACGCTCGGGTACACACAACTGGAAATCGTTTGCCAATGTTGTACATAACCGAATGAACACATGTTATGGCATGCACAATTCGTACCAGAAGCAGCCACTGTGACCATTGTACAATTTTGTAATCCGTGCCCTCCCCGTCAAGATGGAAGTGCGGCATGGGACTTTAAGGATGTACACTTTGTAGTAATCAGTGGCAATTTTGTAGGCTTCAACATATGCACAATTCATTTCATGTTGCCATTGTATTACGAGCTCTGCGACATCCTCTAACATTTGATTCATCCGTGCAGCGTTGTCATCGTCGTTGTTCATACCTACTAATAATACGAACAACCATTAGCTCAAATCATTAAAAACAATGATGGCAGCAAGCACATGTTGGTAGTATGAAATTTCATAAGGAAAATGTGAATTTAAAGCAAATTTTCTAAATAATGAAATTTTATGTTCAAACCCCTAACAGAGATGCTGTACAAAAAAATGTCATCAATAAACAATTACAAACTACTCAGAAAACCACATGGGAATTTCATAATTTTAATCATTTCATAATTTTATAATTTTAATAATTTAATTTTTGAATTTTTAATATACAGAAAACCACATTGTATATAGAAAACCACATGAGAATTTCATAATTGTATATGAGCAACCTGGTCATAAACATTGAAAAATGGGTACTAGGGAAAAAAAATGGATTACCACAATTTGTTAAACCCTGCAGCAATTAGCATAACAAACATATGAACCACAAACATAGCTTACAACCTAAAAGTTAAGGACAATGGGTCGACAGCCATGTCCCTTAGCCAATCCATTGTCAAACCAGCAATGACAATATAAAAAAAAAATTAAAAAAAACAGTGCACACACAAAAAGGCACAATGCAACTGAAAATAAACAAATTTTTAAGAGTTGTTTCCCGTGCAAATTTAAAACCGAAGTCCTTCATTGCGCAGCAAACTCGCAAGAGTGATACCCCCATTCCTTTCTTTGTCCTGTTTCTTCGCTTGTAGTCACCTGATTATGCCTTGGTCCGTGGAAATACTCATAACCATCTCCCGATTGTTCGAAACCTCTATAAACATGACTCCAAAATGGAGAAGTGGATCGGTGGGGTTTAGTCCCTGTATTTCATATAGCCGTCCAACAGCCTGGCCCATAGTGTAACTGTGCCCCCCGACAATGTGGTTAACAGTTAGTTCCTTGCTCTGAGTCTTCATGGAATTTACCAAGTTGTCCATGCTAGTTGCCAACGCTGCGGCCCCAGTAATGAGCTTGTTTTGCAATGTTGTGGCCAAGGAATGTGTAACACCCAAAAAATGGTAATTATAATTATTTGAATTATCCATGTATTAGTTGCGGATTATAGGATTTAATTTGTGTATATCTGTCCAAATTGGGAAATTATTTGTTGAGAATGCAACTTTGGGATTGAAATTGACGACCTTACTGGGTTTAGAAATCGAAATTGAGTACACGGATATGTTGATTGGAATTTTTAGAATCACCTAAGAAGTTTAATTAAAAATTGATTTTTGTCTGATTCATAAAGTTATGTTTGTATAATAACCCTGTCCTGTACCATGTTAATTAATCATGATTATGTTTGTAATTAGGTGCTTAACTTGAATTTGGGTGTTAATTGCATGATTATATGTGATTTTGGCTTTGTATCTGTTCCCCGTAGGAAGATCTGTTAGAATCTGTGCTTTAAACTGAAAATTGAAGGCTTTATCGGCCACAGAAACCGAAATTGACTACGCCATTGTGATTGGCATAATTTTTAGAGTCTACGGTGAAATTTGATTGGAAACTGATTTGGATCAAAATAATTAGATTAAACTGATTGAATTAAGTACAATTAATTAGCCTTAACCAAGTCTAATTAGATAAAGCCTATAAATAGGCCCCATATACACTTAACTCACCATTTTTTAGCTCAAAATCTGAAATAAGCACTCTAGAGAGAGAGTGAGCCGATGGTAGAGAGAGAGAAGCCATCCTCGAAGATTTTGCAAGAGAGCTCAAGTTTTGGGAGGCTAGACTCTAGAACTAGTTAAAATTGTGAAGATTGAAGCTCCTAAGTGAGTAATTGAGCATAAACTTATGAGTTTAAGTTTGTAGTTGAGGGAGTCTACGCTCGAGCGACCCCTCTCATTCCAATTTCCACCTACCAAGCCACTATGCTGCCACTAGATGATCCATTTGTACTTAGACTTGGGGTTCCTTAATTTCTTTTCATCTTTCCTTTAATTTTCAAAAAAATAAAAAGTTTGGACTTGAATCCTATTTTTTAAAAGTTTTTTTTCCATTAAGGTACCCATACCATTACCTAAATCCTAGCTACATAGGTTACTCCCAATCATTTGAAATAGTTGAATTGATCTTTATCCAATATAAGCCTTACTGTTTTGGTGTCCTGCTCACTTACGATTAAGAGGATAACATCATATATTAAGCTTTGTGTTAGTGCTTCTACTCAACCTACCCTCCTTCCCCAATTCAGGCCAAGCTCTCACGTCATCACCAGACCTCACTCTCATAAATCAAGGAACATTGCCACATAAGCAGCTCAACTATGCAATATCATGTCTGGTGTTGCCATAACATAGTCAACACCAGTTGCATTGATGTTTACTTGACCACAATTTCTCAACCAAATCTGAAAGACAGCCACATATGGGTTGTGTAATGAAGATGTTAGATGTATTTCACAATGAAGTTAATTGTTAAGATGCATTTGACAACCTTTGAAGAAAGTATAATAGCTACAAACTGAAATATAATATTTGTTAGCTCAAAAAAAGTATAACAGCAAAGCATTTAGGTAAAAATACACAAGTGTTTTGACAAATAAATGTTGTTCACCTTTTTTGACCATCCCAAAAATATTTTGTAATCTTGACCACACCATCCCAAATTCTTTAAAGTCATAAACATACGACGTTTTAAACTACATAGGAAAGCATGGTATACATACAAAAATTGAGATATTAGTTCTGTAATAATGGACAGGGAAAACAAAATGTAAAGCGTTACCTTCTCCATTTTAGCCCACCAATTAGCCGACGCAGTGAACAACCCAGTAACTTGGTCAAAGCCAATTCCAGTTGGACATTTCCAACAATCCATTAGCTTACACCACGCATGCCACTCGCTCTTCAATAAATTGTACTTGTTTTTAAGTTGTTTCAGTGAATGCAGCCTCCCAGTTGCTGCCTCAAATGTCTTAGACCACGAACGGTACCCGTTCGGAGTGATTGACATGTGTGGCCGATTTCTTGCTTCAATTTCCTTCATGACCAGTTCCAAGAAAATCCGTGTCGACTCCCCATCCCAAGTTGCTTTATGATAGGGTTGTTGCCATTTCCCTTTGCCGGAAGGGGTACGAGGCGCAGATCAATGTGACACCATGCGACTATAACAACAGCGTGTAACGGGAACCAACGTAAAAATATTTATACACTCACAATACAAGCATTAGTAATATCACGAACACCTTTTATGTCAGAAATGTGGTATTTGAAACAAAACATAGCGCAATAGATTCGTTTAACGACATTAGCATTTGAAACCAAAACTAACAGTTGCGGAATTATATAACAAATACATGTTTACGAACAAAACATAATTTAATAATTTTTTTTGGGCCACAAAACATAATACCTTTAATAACAATA